GATAGAGAGAGAGAAAAGGATGCCCTAAGGGGCCCCGCCGACCTTATGCCCCGACGTCTAGGGCACCCCGTGCGCCGGTGGCCGCCCCGGCCCGAGGCCGCCCGAGGCACACAGTTAAGAGGCGCACCGCATCCGTCCGCGGCCCAGCCCGGCCCAGCCCGGCCCGCCGGCTGGAGACTTAAACGCAGGCGCCGCCCGAGAGTTAATGCCGCCCGGGGAGCAACGCATTAGTCTTGTCGCAGCCATATTAGCTTCCGAAAGAAAGGAGGAAAAAAATAATGTTCAAGATCTCGCCGTGTGCGGTTTTGTCATCCAGGTTTCGCGACAAATGTTGCGTTTACGGGACGCAAACAAACACAACGCCAAACATGTTGTTGTTGGGGTGTTAGTTATTTGCACACGGCACTTTGGGGCTCGCGTTGCACCGTTTTTTTCTAAAGGTTCTGTTTCGCCAGCGACAGCAGCGAGCAGCGCGTTCCGCACAGTTTGGGTGGCCATTGAGAGACAGAGCGGCATCACCGACCCGGAGCACGTAGCGCATGGCGTGGCGGGGCGTGGCGGGGCGGGGCGACGACTATTCCCGCTACGGTGGACCAGAGAGGCCAGAGCCCCCGGGGAGACAACGATAGGACTTGACTTACTTCTCTGCCCGTCCGCGCGCGTTTGCTCTCGCGTACCTTTCTTCTAGAACAGAAAGACGGACCCGGGCAGAAAAAAAGGGGTCTACCGCACGGCCACGATTTGTTTGCTTAAGAGGCTCATGTTACAGTCGGTGACGTCGGCCGCGTCCCAGCCCTCACCATACGCCTGTTCTCATACTCACTCGCCGACGGCGGGCGTGCACTCGGCGTGCAGAGGGCGGGAAGCCGAGCGGAAGCGAGAATTTAACAGAAAAAAACGTCACGGAATGTTGTTTTACAGACGGCAGTGAGCAAAAAAAGCGTCGAAAAAAAAGAAGAAATAGTCCATTTTGACAGAAAACGCGAAGAGGCAGCGCGTTTCTGTCATTTTCGCACGGCGCTCGACGCAGCGGAGCATGAGGAACGCGCCCATCCAGCCACTCATCGACCCTCCTTCCCCCTGCCCCCTCTCTCGCTCCGCCTTTTGTCCTCTTCCCACGGGCGTCGGCGCCACTCACAGCTGCCGGATAAGCGAATTCCTTTCGGGACAAAAATTTCCAGTTTCGGTGAAAGTGCCGCGCCTCCCCCGCCCTCAACGCCTCGCGCCTCCGGGCGTATCCGCGGTGACAGAAACACTTCGATGTCTGCTCGACGAGACGATTTCGCACTCGGACCGAGCTTACAATTTTTTTCTTTTGTATTTGCCTTGGTGGGTGACCAAACCGTTTTTACTTTTCGCAGAAGGCGAGGATGCTCGCAAACGGATTTTCCACAGGGTGCCACAGTTCTGGGATACAAAGTCACGAGGCCGAATTAAGTCTCCAACCCCGCGGCTAAGCAGCATGCAGCAGCAGTCGGGTTGGGGCCTGCATAGGGGGAAGCGACGGGACGACAGAAATATGTATGCCAGGCGCCGCATAGCGCTGACACCGTCAGCTACAAGCCAAAATAAAAAAATAAAGACGCGGAAAAAATGGCACACATCTCCTGTAAGAAGGGGCGATAGTCAAGAAAACGCGTAAAGTTTATAGTGTTTAACTACGAGGCACAGCGCGGGGCTCTTCCCAGACAGCAAGGCAAAAAGAAGGCTTCCCCCGCCGGGCGCGCAGCCACCCCACCCCGCCGCCCCCCACCGAGGTGTTTTCTCTAGCGCCATTCGATACCACTTGCCCGTTGGCCGGCGGTCGGTTTTTGTCTGGGCGGCCAGAGGAAAGCTCCCCGCGCGATCCACTTGGCCGGCACAAGGAGTCGCAAGGGACGAGTCGCGATAGTAAAATTGCGGGGCTTTTAGATTTGACTGACTGGCGAGGTGTGCGAAACAAGTTTGGTTTAAATCAGGCGGATGATGACGTGAGCAGCGTCGAAGCCTGCTGGCCCCTGTGCCCAGCCTGCGATTGGAAGAGGTGGGGTCGCTTGTAAATGGACGATGCTCCATCACACTCAGAACCCGACTATTTCGGTCGAACCGGAAATCTGCACTGTCGCCGATCGAAAGGGACAGGTAGGGGAGCCGGCCAGCACGACACGTCCCGGACGCCCAGCCGCTCTATTTTCCGACAGCTGATGCGACAAATTGAATTCCTTTGGCCGCGCGGGAAAAGGGGGACGCTTGACTCAGTGGGCCGGCATTCCAGCGCTCCCCGCAAGCCCAGCGCAGCAAGCCCAGCGCGAGCCCCCGCCTGCCCAGCCCCGCTCGAGATTTGCCGCACACAGTTCCGATTTCACTCGAACGGGACGCGCTCGGGTCGGCGGGGGCCAGCGTGCTGCTGCTGCAGCCAGGGCCCTCTCGACTTGCCTGCTGCCCGCACCTCGCGGCCGTCGGTGGCCGCCGGCCCGCCGGCTACCGCAGACGCACCCATCACCATCCATCCATCCGTCTTTGTTTCGCCGCGCGACCCGCCGTGGGTCCGGCCCGCGGCCGCGCCAGCCAGCAGCAAACTCACTCGCAGAGGGAGAAAAGTTTGATGGACCTCTTGCTGTCATCACTCTATTTCAAAAAATTGCGGTAAAGTTTACAACGTTTTGTATGCTCCTTCCTTTTAGCTGACAGTTCTTGTCATCTTTGTTTTCTACACAGCTCGTAAGCAATCATTCTTTGCAACATGGCCCATTTAGTTAATTGGGTCCTCCTGATGAAAATGTTATTTACCAAAAGTATAGGGTTGTAACTGACACATTACACCAGAGGTTTAAAAATTGCGGCACATTAGGTTGTTTTTTTTTTCATCATAGGACGCCTTGCCACGCGGGTGCGAGAAGCCAATCGATCGGGACGGGAGCAGCGGCGGGCGCGACACCACCGCGATTGTCACATACAATGATGGCAATCGGACGGCACCGGCGTCCCGCCGCGCGGGGAAACGGCACCCACGTGGCTTCCAATTAGCCCAACATCGTTCTATTAATAAATTAATATTATTCGTTAACAAAGCCCTTGCAATATTAATAACAATCATCATGCTGGAGCACTAAAAAAAGTCTTTTAAGAAAAAGGTACAGCCCGTTACGATACAGCAACACACCCGCAAGCCAAGCCCGTGCAGCGCAATCCCACCATCATGTCGCGCTGTCTCCATTTCATTCGCTCGTCGTAAATCGAAAACAGAGAGAATGCGAAGAGCTGTGCAGTGCCACCCAGGCCAGCCCCGCCGCGCCCCGCCGCGCCGCGCGGTCCACGGCGAGCGGACGCTGGACGCGCACCGTTACTGTCCGCCAGAGATGCGGCCTTCACTTCCCACGACGCGACGCCCTACGACGCCCTGGACTCTCGCTCCGTCCTTTCCATCACCCCCCC